GGGGTCTGCATGCTGTGTCTCCTCTGAAACTCAGCTAAGTCCCCGAGATTTCCTTGTGGTGCCTCATTTTTGGAGAGCCTGTAACCAGTCTCATAAAGACGGTCTCCGTAAATCTCAGTCAGGTCGACCAGCTGAACCCACTGCAGTCTGTTAAGGTTAGCCTGGATGGTCAGGCGATTGTCCATGGTCAGCGCTGCCAGGAGGCACCTGCCATTGGCGTCACAACCCATGGGGGACCAGCTAGTGTACTTGAACCCTCTCAGTGGAGGCAAACCCTTCCCCTCAGGGTTGAACACTCTATCCAACATGAAAGTCTGACTGATTGTAGGGTCTTTAGAGGTGGCAAATTTCTCCTTGACCTCAGCAACTTCTGTTTTTGAGCCAACCTGAAAATAAGAGATATAAAAGCTATCAGATAAATGTTGATCTGCACTGACTCACATTTATAAAACAATTTTCTATCAATTCTGTTAATTTTGACATGTGAAATATCACATATCAAAAGACTAAATGAGCATTGACTCAAGGGAATAGCAAATTCTTAAAGAGTCAGAATAAATGTTATCATTATTCATAAGCCTGGTCTCATATTCTTAAAATTGATATATGCGGAACCAGCAGTTAGCGTAATGGCTACGTCGCTGGACCCATGTAGTCGACTGCGGTTCAAGTCCCAGACCTGGTGGCTAAACTCATGCTGGGCGCATGTGTGTGCATGCCCAAGATCCCGAAAGGAGAATGGAGGAGAAGGGACTGCGGTGTGGCCATGCCCTCTGGGGGATGATTTCTCGCTTTCCGTCTTTCTTCCTGGCGAGTACACGCATACTATAGCAAAAACCTCTCAAAAAAATTGGTATAAGCAACAGAGATGTCCTTGATTCTTAATACTGGGTTGTTAGAAGAGTCATGACGCATTTTTGTGTAGAAAATATATGTCTTGACTTTTTCAACAACACAATAAAAGTGCTAAAACTAAAAAAAATCCAGGGCCAGTAGGTGGTTTAGTGGTTAAGGCACTGGACGCACATGGCTAACTTGGCAGTCTGCATCTCAAACCCGGCAGCTTAAAACACACAGCAGGCGTGTGAATGGAGAAGGGGCTGCGGCGTGGCCATGTGCTCTGGGGAGGCTGACTTCTCACTTTTCCTGTCTGGCAAGCACACACGCAAAAATCTTAAACATATACATATTTGTATGTCTTTGACACAATTAGATATTTTGTTTTACAGTACCAATGTGATACAAATGTCAGCATTAGGTTTTTTATCTGAAACTTTATTCACAAATTATGCTAAGAGCCAACTTTAACTGCTTTGTCTACTGTTCTTATAGAATAATACTTGCTCCAATTGGACAACTTTATTCACCATTCCCAAACATTTGTACCTTTGTTTTCAGATTCCCTAGTGCAAACCTCCCCTCTCTCTAAATCCCATCTATTCTACCAGGTCTAGTTTCTCCTATAAGGCCGTCTGAAATCATGTTACGTTTTCATTCATCTCTCCACCCTCTACGTTTATAATATAATATGCATTGATAGTGTCCAACATGTGACGGTGAGCTTTGAAAAAAGATTTTAAATGGTCATTAAAGATGGATAAGTGGGGCCAGCAAGTGGCATAGAAGTTAAGGAGCTGGATTCCACATCGCTGGTCATGTGGTTCAAGTCCCAGACTTGGTGACTTGAAAATCACGCCAGGTGTGCATGCATGCATACCTAAAATTCCAAGAGGAGAACGGAGAAGGGCCTGTGGTGAGGCCACCCTTACCCCAGGGAGTGGATGTCGGGTAGGGGTGATATCTCACTTTCCCTCTGTCTCTCTCCAGCGAGTACACATGCCCTATGACTAAAACCTAAAAAACAAACAAGATGAATAAATGACCAAAGAAAGTAGTCCAGAGCCATTAAAATAAACAAACAAATATGGGACCAGCAGATGGTGTGAAGGCTAAGTCACTGGACTCCCACGTAGTTAGTCAACCATGCTGAATCCTGGACTTGGCAGCTTAAAACTAATGCGGAGTTGGGGCCAGCAGGTGGCATGGTGTTTAAAGATGCTGGATTGCCACATGGCTGATTGCATTTTGAGTCCCAGACCTAGTAGCTTCCTTTCTTGCTTTCCCTTTCTCTGTCTCTCTGGTCAAATTAAAAAAAAAAAAAAAAAAAAAAGGAATTAAAAAAAAAAAAAATTCTTTAAAAAAAAAAAAAAAAAAAAAGATAGGTTCTACAGTCAGGCCACCTGTATTCAAAACATAGTTCTACCGCTTCCTAGGTATATGACCTCCATAAGCTTCCATTTCCCCTTCAGAAAAATGAGAATAATCATTGTGGAGCTCTTGGGACCAGCAGGTGACATGGTGGTTAAGGCGCTAGACATTCCCACATAGTTGACCAAAGCTCAAGTCCCAGACCTGGCAACTTAAAACTCACACCTAGTATATGTGTATGTATGCCCAAAATGCTGAGTAGAATGGAGGGGAAGAATTGCAGCATGGCCATCCTAATTCTTTAAAAATAATTATTATTATTATTGTAGAGATCCCATTGGTTAACTAGTTAGCCACTTGTCCTTCTTTCTTATTTCTCAGAACTCCAATTTTGTTTGGGGGCCATGTGCTCATTCAAGGAAATGAGTCATAAATGTCATAAGTAAATTATTAAAATATCACCCTTTTCTTTCTTTTAAAAAAAATATATTTTAATTTATTTTAATTTGGCCAGAGAGGGACAGAGTAAGAAGGAGAGAGAGGGAAAGTGAAAGCAAGCAACCAGGTCCAAGACTGAAACCATGGTCGACCATATTGGAGTCCAGCACCCTTAACTACCATGCTACCAGCCAGTTCCACATTTTTTTTTTTTTTTGCCATTGATTAATTCTCGTCAATGAAATGTAAGATGAAATCTACTAAGGAAAACAAAATTGCCTTTAGAATAAGCAAGAGAGGCACCTGTAGTTATAGAATTCCACCTACCACGAAGACACACATAAAAGTCCAAGAACACATGGACACCTGTGTCACAGTGTGTCACACAGCATGGCCCTTAGCTCTGTGTCAAAGTGCACAGCTAACACCTAACACCACTCAGGCACTGGAGAAATACTTCCCACCGGATGCCGTCCTCAAAGCGAAGGGAGCTAGATCCACACCAGGGGAGGGGATTATGCCTCTGCGTTAAGTGTGAGGAGTCTGTGAGGGGCAGAGGGTAAGAGAAAAGACTAATGAGCTGGTCAAATCCTTTCTCTGACCACAAATGCAACACATTCTTGCAAAACGAAGTACAGAAACCCAGGAACATCAAATAGCCATTTTCTTGCTTCTGTTCCTATTCATAGTTCCAGAGGTACTCACTCCTCAGCGCTAAGTTAACACCAACTGCATATGGTGGCTGGATGACATTTTGCCAAATTAGGATTTTTTTAATTGCCAGAGGGCATGTGTGCTCACTAGAGACAGAGAGGGAGAGAGAAAAGCCATCCCCAGTAGGGCATGTTCACACCACACTCATCTCTCCATTTTCCACCCTGTCAGTACTTGGGGCATGATGTACACTTAATCTACAGGGTTTTTTTGTTTTTGTTTTATTTTATTTGAGAGGTTTTAGCTATAAGGCACGTGCGCTCACCAAAAAGACAGAGAAACAGAAACAAGAAATCACCCCCCAGGGGGTATGGCCAAGCCACAACCCCTTCTCCTCCATTCTTCTCTCAGGATCTTGGGCACGCGTGCACCCATGCCCAGCATGAGTTTAAGCCACTGGGTCTGGGACTCGAACCACAGTCGACTACATGGGAGTCCAATGACATAGCCATTACACAAACTGCTGGTCCCAACTTACAGGTTTTTCAAGCTGCTGGGTCCAGGATTTGAACTGGGATCAGCTATGTGGAACCCAGCTCTCTTAACCACTAAGTGTGGGCCAGCCCTACAAAATTATATATCACATGTGTATGTCATATATGCAGATACACACCTCACATATATATGAAATATAACTTGCATAATGTATAATACCAGTTCTTCATTTTAGAGGTTAAATGAACATTATATACTAGAATTCCAGGTATTAAATTGTTCATCAAAATAAAACTAAGAACTAATTTTCAAAATATTAAATTTTCAGTTTTAAGATAATTTTGATTGAAATATTAACATTAACTATAAATTGTATTTTGCCATTTTTCTTTTTTAGTCTTTAGTTTGCTGTAGGGCTCGTGCCTATGTGAGAGGGAGGGGTCAAAATTGACCACCCCCCAGGAGAATGGCCATGTCACATTCCCTTCTCTTCCATTCTCCTCTTGAGATTTTGGGTACATATGCACTAAGTGCCCAGTATACTTTCCAAACCACCAGGTCTGGGACTTGAACTGTGGAGTTAGCCATCTAGGATTCAGCCACCTGCTGGCCCAGTAAACAATTTTTTAAAAAAGGGCAAAATAGGGGCCTGCAGGTGTGTGGTGATTAAGGATACTGGACTCCCACATGGCTGCCTGCAGTTTGAGTTCCAGACCTGACAGCTTGTTTTCGCTCTCTCTCCCCCTCCCTCTCCTTCCCTCTCTTCCTCCCTCCCTGTCCTTCCTCCCTCCCTCTCTCACTGTTTCTCTCTGGTCAAATCTAAATAATTTTTCCCCAAGGTAAAATATAGTCCAGCTGGTGGCATGTTGGTTAAAGAGGCTGGATCCGATATGGCCGACTTTGGGGTTCGAATCCCACACCAGATAGCTTGTAAAACATACTGGGCGTGTATGCATACATGCCCAAAATCCCAACAGGAAAATGGAGAAAGGACTATAAGGGACTCCCCCTGGGGAGGATGACCCTTAGCCCCTGGGGAGGGGCAATTTCTCTCTTTCTCTTTCTCCAGCGAGTATATGAGCCCTACGACAGAGAGAGAGAGAAAGAGGGGGAGAGAGAGAAATTTTTAAAGATTTTTATTTAACTTCTTTTTTACTTTTATCAGAAAGAGACTGAGAGAGGCCTAGGAAGTACAGAGTGGCAACATGGTGGCACCTGGATCTGGTGACCCTTTGGATGCTAAGAATGGAAAGGCTCCATTCGCTCAGCACATTGACCCAACTCAAGAGAAACGGACTCCCGTGCAACTGCAATTCATGCGGCAGGTACAGCTCGCCCAGTGGCAGAAGGCGCTGCCACCGTGTCGGACCCGGAACATTATGACCTGGCTAGGAATCAGGGCCCTGGTGTTAGCTATTTATGGTTATACCTTCTACTCAGTGTCCCAAGAGCGTTTCCTAGATGAGGCCAAAGCTGCCCAAGCCCAAGCTCCGGCAAGGACGTCAGGACCCTGATTTGGACGGACATTGCACGGCTCCAACCTGCTGGCCCCCCTTCACATGGTAGATGATGCCCATGATCCTGTAGACATTGAAGCCTGCTCATAGCATCGCATTTCTGGCCTTCTTACAAACTTCGGAACATAATTAAATCCAAGAAGTGAGGGACTTACACGTGTGACCACTGTCAAGGGAATGTGGCCCACTCCCCACTCGCGGTGTACAGTGACGGCCCTTCTAGTACTTTGTTTCCTTGTCTGAGGGGTGTGCAACTTTGGCTTTTCCCAGACTGTTTTCTTCCCCAGATTTTTTAACTTTATGGTTTACCTCCCAGGGGCACAACTATTATGGGGAGGGGAGGCAGTGTGGCAGCTCTGCGCAGTGTTGGTGCCTAAAGTAAGAAAGATAGGTCATGCTGAGAAAAATAAACTTGAGCCATCTCAAAAGAAAAAAGAAACAAAGAAAGAAAGAGACTGAGAGAGAGGGGGGAAAGTGAGAAAGCAAGCCACCAGGTCCAGGACTCAAACTGTATTCAGCCATGTGGGAGTCTAGCGCCCTTAACCACACCACCTGCCAGCCCCAGTAACAACTTTTTAAAAATGCTATGACAAGCAAAAGAGACTGCAAAAAAAAAGTAAAAAGCTTTATCTTTTAGTAGACAAACATAAAGCTTCTTCTCCATTTTTCCTTCCTGTTGGGATTTTGGAAATACTTTTAGGTCGTCCCGAGGCCAGGACTCAAACTGCACAAAGTCATGTGGGATTCAGCTCCCTGAACCATGAGGCTATGAGGCTGGCCTAGATTTCTTGTTTCATTAATAATAAATACCATTTTTATTGAGGCCACTCGTAGATGAGGTTTCTCTTACTATCAGCCAGAAGTATTCTTAACTAATATAATACCCACCGCAGGGCTGGTGTGAGGACCAAATGAGATAAATAACAGACTAGTAAACAGTTCCATTTTGAACACTTTCAATGAGCCTGGACAACTCTACCGATGGGCTGCGGGCCAGTGCCTGAAATCTCATTGGGGTACCATACAATTCACCACCCAAACCCAGGACTTTTGAGAGTAAAAGAAGTCACACGTAAAAATTGTGGTGTCGCTCTCTCTCTCTAGCAACACATACCCTACAACAAAAATCTTTCTCTCTCTCTAAAAAAAAACAGGAGTCAGATGGGAGATCCCATCCCAGCTAGGCAAGTAGGCTACATTACTTTTTTGTGAAGTGATTTTTCTTCTTCAGTGTGTGTGTACCCATTGAAGAGAGACAAAGAAACTGAGAAAGCACCCCAGGGACAATCATGCTGTAACCCCCTCTCCTCCTCTATTCCCTCCTTTCAGGACCTTGGGCATGCACACACATGTGCCTGGTGTGTTTTTCAAACCGCATGTGCAGAACGCAAACAATGCCGTTGACCGTGTAGCATCCGGCTTACTTAACCACGGGGCCACAGGCTGGCCCCTTTATCAAGTGATTTTTAAACCGTGTCTTCTTACAGAAGCCACTTATCACCACTGCTGAGGAGGCAAGTCTGAGGGACTTTGTTCCCTGGCCAGAGCTCGAGAACCACTTGGTACCACCCCGCCCCACCTCCCCAGTTAGCATATGGCTGTCGCCTCAGTAGGCCAATCCTATAGAACAACCCTCAGAAACAGTGTGGAGTCAGCGGTGTAACCCAAAATGGCTAGATTCTGATATCTATCGCCTCAGCGAGACCCCAGAATGCAAAAATCCTCTCCCTAGAAAATTCCCAGCACAGGCTCCAGAAAACTGAAAACAAAAGACAGAAGAAAAACTCACAAGCTCTTTTCTCTCCCTCCTGCCCTTTCCTTTGCACATGAAATCAAATCCAAGTTCTCTTTGGGAGACAGCAGTGGACAGTTAGGCTGGCCCACCCTGGAGAATGGCGGCCACCTGGCTCCCTGGCAAAGCCCCCTTCCAGGTCCATGGAGGGGGCTTCTGCTGACATTCGTAACTGGCTGTGATCTGGGGCTAACACCCTACTAGCTGCACGACCACCTGCAGCCACGCCAGTCCATAGCTCCCACAGCGGCACTGCTGCACCCGGGTAGCGAGGACGTCACAGTCTGCTTTACACCGTCACTGGTAGAGTCACGTCCAATTGGACGGAACAGAAAAAGGTCAGAACCGTGCAGATGCTTGAGCTGGTCTGTGAGACATCACGAATTCAGTTTTTCCCACATTGTACCCTCATGAGTCCAAAAAATATCCCTTACCTTTAACTAGTCTGAGAGCTTCTTTTGTCATTGGATAGGGGACTTCTTTCTTTCTCCCCTCATTAATGCAGATGTTGCTGGAGCCGTGATTAAACCTGAGATGAAAATTCTGAGTTAGCTAGCTTTGGATCAAGGAGTCTGCAACCAAACGTGAATTCTTTCTGAAACTTTACAGATTTTTCTCCATGACCCCGATACCCACTTTCCTGCTCTGAAGGACTTTTCTTCTTTCTGTCTTTAAGTTAACTAAGAGAAAAAAGACATTTTAAGTTGTTGGAGGGGGAGGCAGTGCTGAACAAGTCAATAGAGCCAGGGCTCCTCAGGCCCCCATCTGTTCCAAATCTTCCCTTCACAGGATGTCATGTCTAAAACGCAAGAAAAATAGTCCTTCCTCTCCAGCATTCAGC